CATTGGATATATTTGTCCCCAAAGAAAGAATGAAAATATATTCTCATATATCGAAGAGAATTTTTTAATTCATGTTGATGATTGTCTATGAAATGTGATCATTATTAACTCACTGTTGAGAAATTAGCCAGATGCATGACTGAAAAAGGCAAATGAAAAACTATAATGATGGCATACAGACTCAGTTTCCTTAAAATACATGAATGATTCTGTGCCTGAGTAAAGACGTTTTGTTATAGTTACAGTGTTAGAAGAACATTTTATATGGCTTTTAACTATAATAAGGAGTACTTTTTGTAATTCATCTCAATAGCTAACTTTGCTTATGCCGAGGTATTTACCCAGATGCAGCAAGAGGTATTAGCAATGGCATAAACTCCCCCAGGTTGACCTAAACGGAAATCAAGAATTATTCTAATATTTAATATAACCCTAGCAAGGGTGTCTAAAGTTTTCTGTTGAGCTGCTCTGCCAAACTCACTGTTATCAGCAAATTGAGTCATAGTGGTAGAAAAATTGCAAATAGACTTTTGAAGCTGAGATTATACTAGGGTAGAAAAGCTTGGAGAAATACTTATCATGATCTGATTTTTTTGAGCCACAGGGTTCTGATACTTTATTTGACTCATGTAAAAGATTTGCATCTCTTTTTGTTGAGTTAGAATGCTCAACTCTTTAATCCAGTGCATACTCTCATCATCGGGATGGATTTCCCAGGAAACAGCTAAATGTCCTATAGCACATCAATTAGTTATCCTCCCCTTATTCAGAAAGGGCCAAGCCCAAGCCCGAGGTTCATCATTTGATTTTGCTGTATCTATGTAGTGATACTTTGAGTGAACACATATTAATAAATGTACATGCAGAATAGAAAACGTACCTTTTGTTTAATAGAGAGCCATGGTCTAATTAATTTGCTCAAATCATTTTTATTCAATGAATTGTGAAGAATGGGTAATCATTTTAACTCCAACATTATTGCCTTCCTAATTAGACTACAAGGTTCCCCTTTTCTTATGTGCTGAGTAGAATAGCTTCTTGTGTTTCCAGAGCAGTAAACTTTTATGGGAGAAGAAATCTTCATCTTTCCCCTTAGGAGCTTCTGGTGGGTTTATAATTGGCAGCACAACTCATAATTCACAATGACACCAGAGTGTCTCTCTAACCTGTGAAAAACATTCCTTAGAGTGTTGAATTAAATGTTTGTTTTTGAAGAATTCTGATGGAATCATATTGGCATTATTATGAAAAATATAAGAAATCCCGTTGGCCTTTCTGTATCTATGTAATAGGGGCATTGTTTATGAAATGGAAATTATGTGTTCCTTAGATTTAAAAGGATAAGTGCAAGTATCTTGGTCCAAGGCATGTTTAAGGCATCACAAAGTCTTGCTAATTGGATTTTTATGATTCCGTTAGTTATTTCAACCCTTCCAGGAAGTGGAGGATGATAAGAATAATGCAGTGTTTGACAAATGGAGAAACTATGGCACTGTTCTTAGATTGCTAGACTGCAAAAATGAATTCCTTTGTTGTTGCAAATAATTCTTGATGCTACAAAGCAGAGTCAAATTTTAGAGAGGCATCTTATGTAACTGCATGCAACAAGTGGCCTCTTTGGAAAGTTCTCCTTTTCAGATGCTGCTTTTGCTGTCTTTTGGGTACAAAAGAGCTTAACAATATTTCTATGTTTTCATTGAATTTAAAAGGAGGGAATGATAACAGTGCTTAAATTGTGAACACCCGATTCGCAGAAGGCTATGGACTACAGTGGAAACTCAAAATCCATTTTTTCAGGATCCACACATAGATTAAGCCTCAGATGAATCCCTTCTGACAATAGTGAAGGGATATGAACAGCCTGGTTATCAGACCGAAAATTGTAAAGTTGATTATGGTAGATATAGTTAGGTTAAAATGTAATAGCTTATTCGGTGATCTTCTTTTTTACTTATTTAAATATTGATTCCATTTTAAAAAGAGTGAAGGGAAAGGGTATGTGTATCCCCTCTCACTATCAACCAGGGATGTGAATGATCTTCCTATCATGCTGACTGCGTTGGAAAGGGGACTATTGTAGATGCTGTTAGGTTAAAATTTACACTTTATTATTTGATCTTCCTTTTGACCTATTTTACACTTGTTCTATTTTTTCATGTTTTCTTTCTTCTCCATTCAAGGTTTTCTCTGTTTTACTTGTCAATGTCATTAAGTTATTTTGTCGTTGTTATGTTTTTCTTTATATGAAATCCAGAATAGGTAAATCTAGAGCTACAGTAACTGGATTAATGGTTTCTTGGGGGTAGGGTAGGGGAGGTTGTGGGGAGAAAGTGAAGTTGAAAATGAAATTGAAAAGAGAAAATATTTTAAAATTGATTTAGGCAATACTTGTGCAACTCTTCTCAAAATAATTGAACTATTGAATTGTATGATATGTGGATTATGTTCCAAAAGAACTGTTCAAAAAATTAGACAGTAAGGTATAATGAAGTGTGCAAAGACCTGGAGTTACAATGTAAAAGGGAAAAGATACACTCAACATTGATCAAGCTGAAAGAACTCAAGAAAAATATCCAAGCCTAAAGTTGCAGAAATTATCGAAAACTGTCATAGCATTATACAAGTATGATATTGTTGAAGAAAATTCAAACTAGTTATAACAGTATATTGACAGGACATTGTCAGAAATTCAATCCAAATTCAGAAACAAACAAACAAAAAACATGAATAAAGGTTATCATTGTTGATATTAGATGGATCTTGGCTAAAAGGAGAAGTCAACAGCCTAAGCACCACAAATAGAGTTCAAGGTGACTGAAATTCCTAAAACACTCTACCGAAAGATGGGAAGTAGTTGTACTTTGCTGGCTATTAGGAACCAAAGTTTCCACGTGTTTTCCACGGCCCCCAAAGAAGATCAATAAGCACTGTCCTAGACAATCAATCAAACTGTTTATCATTTGAGGAAAGGAAAATCAGCACCCGCAAGAGACAAGCTCCGTGGTGCTCTCATTTCGTGTTACTTCATTCCTTGAGAGGCTGCTGAAAGTCAGTATTTGGGTTTGTCGCATTCATTTTTAAACTGCTGCTGCTTCTGAGTGACTCTTCCCACCGTCCTGCTACTTTGTTCCAGGTATCATAAAGAAGAAAGGCTTTTGCAGCATTGTCAAGATTTCTTCATTCATTGTAGACTAATTAAAGGTGAATTTATAGGTCAACTAGTTCAGCTCCTTATTGTGCATATTCAGTAGATTCTTTAATCATGGAGTTAATAGCAGAGCAATGTTCAATTAGATTTTTTATGTTTCACCACATAAAGAAATGGCTGTATTACTGTAACCTCTCTTCAAAGTCTCAGATATTTGCAAATTCTGTGATGGGGTGAAAATATGAAATAAAGACATTTTGGGAAAAAATGTATTTAAGATACTCATTGGATATATTTGTCCCCAAAGAAAGAATGAAAATATATTCTCATATATCGAAGAGAATTTTTTAATTCATGTTGATGATTGTCTATGAAATGTGATCATTATTAACTCACTGTTGAGAAATTAGCCAGATGCATGACTGAAAAAGGCAAATGAAAAACTATAATCCTTTTCCTCTTGGAGAGAATAAACCCATTTCCTTCTCTCATCTTTCCTTTGGCAGATGGCTACAAGCAAGTTCATGGACTGGTATGGAAACTACTCTTCTGTGACCACATTTATTCTCCTGGGTCTCTCAGATGAAAAGGAGCTGCAGCTCATTCTCTTTCCAATCTTCCTAGCAACCTACCTTGTGACCCTTATCTGGAACCTGAGTCTCATTCTTCTCATCAGGATGGACATCCACCTGCACACACCCATGTACTTTTTCCTCAGTTTTCTCTCATTTATTGACATCTGCTTTGCTACTTCCATCAGCCCAAGAATGCTTTCAGACCTCCTAAAAAAGGAAAAATCAATTTCTTTCATTGCCTGTGCTACTCAGTATTTTTTTGTGGCCTGGATGGCTCTGGCTGAGTGCTGTCTGTTGGCCGCTATGGCCTATGACCGATATGTAGCTATTGGTCACCCTCTGCAGTACTCAACCATCATGGCTCCTGGCCTCTGTAGGAAGATGGTAGCTGGGGCCTATGTGAGTGGTTTGATTAGTAGTTTCACTCAAACATTCCCTTGCTTCCATCTTTCCTACTGTGGGCCAAATATCATTCAGCATTTCTTCTGTGACGTGCCTCAGATAATTTCCTTGTCTTGCTCCAATCCCTTCATCAGCCGAATGACTGTCCTTTTGGTAGCTACTTTTGTTGGGCTTGGCTCTTTCCTTAGTATCCTCTTTTCTTATGGTTTCATTGTGGCTTCCATCTTGAAAATATCCTCAGGGAAAGGTAGTGCCAAGGCCTTTAATACCTGTGCTTCCCACCTGGCAGCGGTAACACTCTATTATGGTACAGCCTTGTCTGTGTATTTGTTTCCCAAGTCTGATCAATCCATGAAGCAGAATAAGGTGCTATCAGTGTTCTATTCCATCCTCATTCCCCTGTTGAATCCTCTGATCTATAGCCTGAGGAACAAGGAGATCAAAGCAGCGCTCAAGAGACTTAGAAAGAGAACAACAGGCATGCCTCAGTTAGACTAACACTTGGATAGTTATTATTATCCCCGTTCAAAAAAGAAGTGGAAATGTGTAAGGACTGTAGACGCTGAGGAGTAAAAACCTCGCTTCGTTATTTTTTGGTGTTTGCATGCTTAGCTTCCATCACTAAGTAATCTCATGCAGTGACTTGGAATACAGTTTTAAAAAGTCAGTTTCCCTACTTAGAACGGAGGTAGAAGAAAGTCCCAAAAGTGATTGTGTTTTGAGAATGGTGCTGGTAGATACTATATGTACAGACATGGCAGGATTCCAGGACACTAAATAGCATTTCGCTCATTCACAGATTTTCATTTCTTTTATGTATTATTTTTCAGTTCCTATTTATGTTCCAAAAATAATATTAAATATTGTGTAACATTGAACCTGTGAAAAATAAAAAATAATTGCAATAGTAACATTTTATAATTTTGGTTTAAATCAAGAGAGAAAGAGAAAAACAGGTGGGTAGAGATTGAGATTTGGCTAGTTTTACTACCTAGGAGCCATGTTCCTTCCGTTTTGACTCTCAAACAAATAAAGGAAAGTGAATTGTGAAAGAGATATGAGAGATAGAAAGAGTAGAAAGGTTGTTGCATTTTCAAGGTCAACTGTTCAGAAGATCCTTGGATTCTAAAAAGAAGGTCAAGGTCAGTAATTTCTGGGCAGAGTTGGGCCTGGAATATTCTCTATGGTAGCATGCTGGATGCTGTGCACAATCATTCTGAGTGATGGCTTTTTTCAGGCAGGCTGAGACTCTCAGGAATCTGGGACTCTCCTTGACTC